ACAAAAGATAATGAGAATGGTATCTATTATTACTACAAAAAAAGTCATCAAACCACAAAGGAAGAGAGCAAGAGAAAAAGAAAGGAACAGAGAGGAATTACAAAACAGCCAGAAAACAATTAAAATGGAAATAAGTACATACTTATCAGTAATTACTTTAAATGTAAGTGGATTGAATTATCCAATAAAAAGACATAAAGTGGCTGAACGGTTAAAAAAAAAGTACCTATCTGTATGCTGCCTTCAAGAGACTCACTTCAGCTTTAAGCACACACACACACTGAAAGTGAAAGAATGAAAAAATATACCTTGCAAACGGAAAAAAAGAAAGCTGGGGTAGTTATACTTATATCAAACAATATAGACTCTAAAACAGACTGTAATAAGAGCAACAACAGTCTTTATATAATGATAAAGGGATCAATTCGAAAAAAGAATATAACATTTGTAAATATTTATGCACCCAACTTAGGAGCACCTAAATAGATAAAGCAAATATTAGCAGACCTAAAGGGAAAAATAGACAGCAATACAGTAATAGTAGAGGACTTTAATAACCCACTTACATCAATGGATGGATCATCCAGACAGAAAATCAGTAAGAAAACATGGGTCTTTAATGATATATTAGACCAGATGAACTTAACAGATACATACAGAACATTCCATACAAAAGCACCAGTAAACATTCTTCTCAAGTGCACATGGAACATTCTCAGGATAGATTGTGTATCATGCCACAAAATAAGCCTTAATAATTTTAAGAAGACTGAAATAAAGCATCTTTTTTTTTTTTTTACCACAATGGCATAAAACTAGAAATTAATTACAATAAGAAAACTGGAAAATTCACAAATATGTGGAAATTATACAACATGCTATGAACAACCAATAGGTCTATGAAGAAACAAAAGAGAAATTAAAACATACCTTGAGACAAATGAAAATGGAAATAAATCATACCAAAACTTATGGGAAGCAGCCAAAGCAGTTCTAGGAGGGAAGTACATAGTGAAAAATGTCTATATCAAGAAACAAAAAATATCTCAAATAAACAACCTAACTTTACAACTCAAGGAATTAGAAAAAGAACAAAGAAAGCCCAAAGTTAGTAGAAGGAAGGAAATGAAGATCAGAGCAGAAATAAGTGAAGTAGAGACTATAAAGACAATAGAAAAGAACAGTGAAACTAAGAGCTGGTTTCTTTAAGATAAAATTGACAAGCCTTTAGCTAGACTCATCAAGAAAAAAGAGAGAACTCAAATAAAATCAAACACGAAAGAGGAGTAGTTATAACTAATACCAGAGAAATACATAGGATCATAAGAGACTACTATGAACAAATATATGCTAACAAATTTGACTATTTAGAAGAAATGGAAAAATTCCTAGATACACACAACCAACTGAGCCTGAATCAGGAAGAAATAGAAAATATCAATAGACTGATTACTAGTTAGGAGATCCAATTAGTAATGAAAAACATCTCAATGAACAACAAAAGTCCAGGACCACATGTCATTATTGGTGAATTCTAACAAAAATTTAATGAAGAACACATATCAATCCTCCTCAAACTTCCAAAAAATTGAAGAGAAGGGAATGCTTTCAAACTCATCTTATGAGGCCAGCATTACCCTGATACCAAAACCAGAGAAGGATACCACAAAAAAGAAAATTACAAGCCTATATCCCTGATAAACATAGCTCCAAAGATCATCAACAAAACATTAACAAGCCATATTCAACAATACATTAAGATGATCATACACTATGATCCAGTGGCATTATTCCAGGGATGCAAAGATGATTCAACATTCACAAATCAGTCAAAGTGATATACCACATTAACAAAATGAAAGCTACAAATCCTATGATCATCTCAACAGCTGCAGAAAAAGAATTTCACAAAATTTCAATATCCATTTATGATAAACTGTCATAAATAAATACCCATTTATGATAAACTATCATAAATAAATATCCATTTATGATAAAAGTTGGTATAGAGGGAACGTACCTCAACATAATAAAAATCATATATGACAAGCCCACAGCTGACATCATAGTCAATGGTTAAAGGCCAAAAGCTTTTACTCTAAGATGAGGAACAAGATAAGGATGCCCGGTCTTGCCACTTTCATTCTACATAGTATTTGAAGTCCTAGCTAGAGCACTTAGACAAGAAAAGAAATAAAGGAAACCAAATTGTAAAGGAAGAAGTAAAATTGTAACTATTTGCAGATGACATGATATTACATATAGAAAACCCTAAAGACTCCACCAAAAAAATTGTTAGAACTAATAAACTACTTCAGCAAAGCTGCAGGATATAAAATCAATCTGTTGTGTTTCTATACACCAATAAATTACCGGAAAGAGAAAATAACAAAACAATTTCATTTACAATCGCATCAAAAAGAATAAAATACCTAGGAACAAATTTAACCAAGGAGTTGAAGGACTGTACACTGAAAACTATAAGACATTAATGAAAGAAATTGAAGAAGACAAAAATAAGTGTAAAAATATTCTGTGCTCATGGATTGGAAAAATTAATATTGTTAAAATACTTATACTACCCAAAGCAATCTACAGATTCAATGCAATCTCTATTAAAATTCTAATGGCTTTTTTCAAAGAAGTATAAGAAACAATCCTAAAACTTGTATGGAACCACAGAAGACCCTGAATAGCCAAAGCAATCTTGTAAAAGAAGAACAAAGCTGGAGGCATTACACTACCCTGATTTCAAACTATATTACAAAGCTATAGTAATCAAAACAGTATGGGATGGGCATAAAAACATACATATATCAATGGAACAGAACAGAAAGCCCAGAAATAAATCCACACATATATAGTCAATTAATACCTGACAAAGGATCCAAGAATATACAATGGGGAAAAGACAATCTCTTCAATAAATGGTGTTGGGAAACCTCAACAGCCACATGCAAAAGAATGAAACTCAACCACTATCTTATACCATACACAAAAACTAACTCAAAGTGTATTAAACTGTTGAATATAAGACCAGAAACCATAAAATTCCTAGAAGAAACCGTAGAGGATAAGCTCCTTGACATCACTCTTGGCAATGATTTTCTCGACCTGACACCAAAAGCAACAAAAGCAAAACCAAACGAGTGGGAGTACATCAAACTAAAAAGCCTCTGCACAGCAAAGGAAACCATCAATAAAATGAAAAGGCAACCTTATGGAATGGGAGAAAATATTTAAAATCATTTATCTGATAAGGGGTTAATACCTAAGATATATAAAGAACTCATACAACTCAATAGCAAAAAAACAAAAACAAAAAAAAACTAACAACCCAATCCAATTAAAAAATGGGCAGAAGATCTGAATAGACATTTTTCCAAAGAAGACATAACAAATGGCCAACGGGTACATGAAAATATGCTGACATCATAGTCATCAGGGAAATGGAAATCCAAACAGCAATGAGATATCACATCACACCTGTTAGGATGGCTATTATCAAAAAGATAATAAATAAGTGTTGGTGAGGATATGGAGTAAAGGGATCCCTTGTGCACTGTTGGTGGGAATGTAAATTGGTGAAGCCACTGTGGAAAACGATATGGAAGGTCCTCAAAAAATTAAAAATTGAACTACCATATGATCCAGCAATTCCATTTCTGGGTATTTCTCTGAAGAAAAGGAAAACACTAACTTGAAAAGATACAGGCACTTCCATGTTCATTGCAGCATTATTTACGACAGCCAAGACTTGGAAGCAACCTAAGTGCCCATCAAGGGATGAATGGATACAGAAGATGTGGTATATATACACAATGGAATACTATTCAACCATAAAAAGAAGCAAATCTTGCCATTTGCCACAACATGGATGGACCTTGAAGGCATTACGCTAAGTGAAATAAGTCAGACAGAGAAAGACAAATACTTATGATCTCACTTATATGTGGAATCTAAAAAAATCCTCCAAAAAACCAAAAAAATGAACCCACATATAGAAAACAGATTGATGGTTGCCAAAGGTGTGGGGTTTGGGGGTGAGTGAAATGGGAAGGGGGTCAAAAGGTACAAACTTCCAGTTATAAAATAAATGAGTAATGGGAACGTAACGTACAGTCTACTGACTATAGTTAATACTGTATCGCATGTTTGACAGTTGCTAAGAGAGTAAATTTTAAAAGTTATCACAAGAAAAAAAGTTTTTGTAACTATGTATGGGGATGGATGTTAACTAGCGTTATTGTGGTGATCATTTTGCAATATATACAAACATTGAATCACTATGTTGTACACCTGAAACTAATATAACCCTATATGTCAATTATACCTCAATAAAAAAATAAAAGAGTAATTCCAGATTTCCTGCATGGTGTTTCCATAATGGCTCTGGGATCAATGAATCTACTGCCTTTTAAACATACCCCACCTTTCATTCTCTACTATTTCTTTTTTTCAGGTAATAGTTTGTGGATTGGTGAGATTTTTGTTGTTGCTGCTGAAATTTTTTTCCCTTGAAAAATACATTGCTCATTCAAATTGCATTAACCGCATAAATGTTTGCCCCTCCCGCCAACACAAGGCTGAAAAAGAGCAGATGTCTTGATGTTCTCTACTTGCACATCAAGTCCTACTTTAAACCTTTGTTAGGAGGTCAAAGCAATAAGTAGAATGACAGTCTCTATATTGATTTTAAACAGAACTTTACATAACTTAATTTTGAGCTCATGAACCCTTTGTTAATCTATAATTTAAACCGTGGACTTTGCTGATGTCCATTATATAACTGAGCATCATTCTCCCCTGTGGAGATAAACGTTTGCTTTATGTTGTATTTCTCTGGTGATTTCATGACATGTGGCAGAAAATCCATTTTCACCAGTGTATTTTGGGGCAAAGGTATGTATGTGCATTAGGGGGTAAGAAGCGGTTCTTCAATCATACCTTATTTTCAGCCACGTTCAAATGCAACACATTTTTAAATGAATGTTAGATGACTATCCAGGTATTAAATAATGTATAAATAATGACAAATAGGAGAATGAAAGGAAAACATTTCTTTGTAGTCTGAGCATCCACTATAGAAGAATATACCATGCCTTAGTATTAAGTATTTTAATTTGTCAGTGAACTCAAAGCATAAAAAACATCTGTCCAGAAAGTGATAACTGATTTGTATACAGGTTCTGGGATACATTGTCATTCAGACTACCAGCCACCTAAGCCCAGGTAAGACCAGGGAATCAGAGACCCCCATTAACAACACTCTGATATGACCTCAACCCATGGCTGTTAGGCACACCCATTTTAAAGTAATGTTATTACATACAAAGCAGCAATTGAGAGTTAAAGATGTTCATCTTTCTAACAGTGATTTAGAGCTAGTTTTCTTTTTGTGTGTGTGTGTGTGTGTTTTTTTTAATTGGAATGACTTGAGCCCTTTATCAATGCTATAAGGCACAATATGTTTCTAGAATGAAGGATTCCAAGTAAACAGGAAATTTTTTTCTCATAAAAACCCAAGCAAGGTAGTAAACTAAATATTCCAATTAAAAGACAATTGTTAGAGGAAATTTCTTTTAAAGGCCCAACTGTGTGCTGTTTACAAGAGACATACTCTAAATATAAGGACCCAAGTTGAAATGAAAAAATGTAAAAAGATCAGCAAACATGAAGCAACAGAAAACTGCTGTGGTTTTATTAATATCAGGCAAAGTAGACTTTAAGTCAAAGTATTTCTAGAGATAAAGAGAGATATTTCATAATAATTAAGTGAATAAATTCAATAGGAAGATAAAACACTTAGTTTGAATGCAACTAATGCAACTAATAATACAGCTTCAAAATATATAAAGCAAAAAGTAATAGAATAAAAAGAAGAAAGAGATACACTTGCAACCATAATTGGAGATTTTAACATACATCTCTTAGTAAATCATGGATCAAGGAAACCAAAGAACCAGTATGGATCCATGCCAGCAGGAGCCCTGGTCTCTGGTTGAGTGCATGCATGACACCAATCTAGTACCCGTGGCAGACCACAACTGCTGTGCACATACCAACAGCTAGCCCTTGCAGCTGCATGAGTGCACACCAACAGCCCAGACACCCATAGCTGCTTGGGCACCTAGAGTCAGCTTGTACTCCTGTCACTGGCCTGCACCACTACACATGCACATAGCAAGCCACTGCAGTCGCTGATATATAAGACATCGGCCCTGACTCCTGTCACCAGCACCCACCATGGTGAACATGCCAATATCTAGCCCTGAATGCACACAAGAGAATACTGACAGCCTGGGTCCCAGCATCTGCTTGTTCATCTGGATCCAGCCCTGAATCCTGTCACTGGTCTGAACTGCCATGTGTGCCCACAGTTAAAGCTTGCAGCTGTGCACCTGCATGGTGCCAGCCCTGATTCCCATCACCAGCTCCCACCACTACACACATGCCTAGACCTAGCTCTCCCAGACATGTGAGTGCACACAAACACTCCCTGCCACTGGTCACAGCATCTGCTGCTGCTGCTGGGTCAGGCCTTCACCACTGCCACTACAGCCAGCCTGTGCCACCACTCAGGCACCTGGAGCCAGCCCTTGCAGCTGAGCATGTGCACACTGCTGGCTACAGCCACCAATGTACTTGCCCTGATCCCTGGAGGGGATCATACTGGACCTGGAGGCACTGCTGAAGAGCCCAACAATGCCCTGCAGCTCTCAATGCCAAGGTTCACATAGTTGTGGATGTTATGAACCCTGGTGGCCTGAGCCAATCAAACACCATGCCCACCCTCCCAACTCAGAGCTGCCATATGCCCTTGCATTTGGTGCCCTGCACCACTATACACAGGACCATAGTATGCTAAAGCATGTCCCCAACTGCAGAAGAAGGTAGTTCCTTACTAAACTCAGTGCATAAAGTCTGGAAGATGTGACTGCTTCTTCAAATGTACAGACACCTATGCAAGGCTACAGGGCTCAAAAAGAATCAGGGAAACATGACACCACCAAAAGAACACAATAAACTATCACTAACTGACCCCAAAGAAATGAGATCCACAAATTGTCTGATAAAGAATTCAAAACAATTGATCTAAAGGAGCTCATAGAGCTCCAAGAGAACACAGATAAACAATTTATCTAAATAAAAAAATAATACAAGAACAAAATGAGACGTTCAACCAAGAGATAGAAAACAAACAAGAAAAAAACCCACCACACAAATTTTGGTGCTGAAAAATAGAATGATTGAACTAAAAATGCAATGAAGAGCTTAAAAAACAGATTCAATTAAGCAGAAGAGAGAACCAGTGAACTTGAAGACATGATTTGGATAATCAAAATTATCCACTCAGAAGAGAAAAAAGAAAAAACATGAAAGGAAAGAAGAAAGCCAACAAGACTTATGGGACACCACCAAAAGAAACAATATTTGTATTATGGAAATTCCCAGGAGGAGGAGAGAGAAAGGGGCATAAAGTTTATTTAAAGAAATAAAGATGGAAAATTTCCCAAATCTTGGGAAAGATATGCACATTCATGTACGTGAAACTCAAAGGTCACCAATAAGGTTCAACCCAAAGGAGACTTCACTGAGACACATAATAAAATTCTCAAAAATTAAAGACAAAGAGAGAATCTTGAAAACAGCAAGAGAAAAAAGCTCATCACATTTAAGGAAACCCCAATAAGACTATCAGCAGATTTCTCAGCAAATTGTAGGCCAGGAAAGAGCGGGATGATATATTCAAAGTACCAAAGGAAAAAAAATTGCCAAGCAAGAATACTTTACCTGGCAAAGCTATTCTTCAGAATTGGAGAGATACACATTCCCAGGCAAACAAAAGCTGAAGGAGTTCATCACCACTAGACCTGACTTACAACAAATGCTAAAGGGAGTTCTTCAAACTAAAAAGGATGGTAAGTAGTAATGTGAAAGCAGATGAAAGTATAAAATTCACTGGTAAAGGTAAGTATATAGTCCAATTCATAATATACTAATATTGTAATGGTAGTGTGTAAATCACTTATAAATCTAGTATAAAGGTTAAACAAAAAAAGAATGAAAAATAACTATACAACTATAATTTGTTAATGGATACAATATAAAAGATATATTGTGACTTCAAAAACATAAAATGTAGAAAAGGGGAGTAAAGTGTTGAGCTTTTGTATGTGAACAACATTAAGTTGTTATCAGCTTAAAATACGCTGGTAAAACTGTAAGATGTTTTATGTAAGCCCCATGGTAACCACAAAGTACAAACCTGTAGTAGTTACACAACAGATAAAGGGAAAGGAAACAAAGCACACCATTATGGAAAATTATCACAAAGGAAGACAGGAAGAGAGGAACAAAGGAACTATAAAACATTCAGAAAACAATTAAAAAGATAGCATGAGTAAGTCCTTACATATCAATAATTAAATGTAAATGAACTAAATTCTTCAGTCAAAAGACCAAATGGTGGCTGAATGGATAAAAAAAACAAGACCAAACTATATGCTGCCTAAAATAGACTCACTACAGCTTTATGGACACAGATAGTATCAAAGTGAAGAGATGGAAAAAGATATTCCATGCAAATGGAAACCAAAAGAAAGCAGGGGTAGCTATACTTATACCTCAGACAAAATAGACTTTCAGTCAAAAACTGTAATAAAGACAAAGAATGTCATTATATAATGATAAAGGAGTCAATTCATCAAGAGGAAATAACAATAGTAAGAATATATGTACCCACCATCAAAGTACCTAAAAATATAAAGCAAATATTAAAATATCTGAAGAGAGAAATAGACAGCAATACAAAAACAATTAGGGACTTTAATGCCCTACTTTCAACAATGGATAGATCATCAAGGCAGAAAAACAATAAGAAAACTTTGGACCTGAACTACACTTTAGATCAAATAGACCTAAATGACATATATGGAATATTCTATCCAACAGCAGTGAAATACACATTCTTCTCAAGCATACATGGAACATTCTCCAGGATAAATCGTATGTTAGGCTATCACAAGATTTAATAAATCAAAGATTGAAATCATATCAAATATCATTCCCAACCACAACTGTATGAAACTATGAAAGCTGGAAGATTCACAAATATGTGGATATTGAACAACATAGTCCTGAACAAACAATGGTCAAAAAAGAAATCAAAAGGGAAATAAAAAAATCCGAGACAAATGAAAGTGGAAACACATCATACCAAAACTTATGTGATGCAGCAAAAGCAGTTTGAAGTAGGAAGTTTAGTGATAAAAGTTCACATTAAGAAAAAAAAAAAAAGATCTCAAATAAACAACCTCCCTACACAGCTCAAGGAACTAGAAAAGAAGAACAAAGCCCAAAGTTAGTAGATGAAAGAAAATACAGATTAGAGCAGAAATAAATGAAATAGAGACCAGAAAAACAATAGACAGTATCACTGAAACTAAAAATTGGTTTTTTAAAGAGATAAACAAAATTGACAAACCAAGAATTTGACTAAGAAAAAAAGAGAGAAGTCTCAAATAACATCAGAAATGAAAGAAGAGACATTACAAGTGATATCTCAGAAGGAGGTCTATTTGCATACTTTAAAAGATGCTGCCTGAGGGTCTGGCTTCTAATCAGCCTGATCTAGGCACTGAGTGAGATCCTCCCCTTTAGGATACTTACAGGTCTTGTACACCTTCAACTACTGGGAGTCAATAAGAACAAAGAAGGAGGCTTGGTCACTCACAAAGTTTTGAAAGACAACCAAGAACTAGGGGTCAAGCTGAAAAATAAGTTTCATCTCCTACACGAGACCACTCCTTCAAGACTGGGAGTGGTGGGTGTTTTATCTAATATGCAGAAACCAAAATAGAGAGTCAAAGAAAATGAGGAAATAGAGGAATATATTCCAAACAAAAGAATAAGATAAAACTTCAGACACAGACCTTAATGAAATCGAGAAAAGTGATTTACTTGATAAAGAGTTCAAAATTATTGTCATAAAGATGCTTACTGAGGTCAGGAGAGAACGAATGAACAAAGTGAGAATTTCAACAAAAAGAAAATATAAGAAAATATCAAACAGAAATCACAGAGTTGAAGAATACAAGAACTGAACTAAAAAGTCAATAGAGGGGTTCAGTAGCAGCATAGATAAAGTAGAAGAAAGGATCAGTGAATTCGAAGACAGGGCATTGGAATTCATCTAATCAAAGGAGCAAAAAGAAAAAAGAATGAAAAACAATAAAGATAGCTTAAGGGTCTTATGGGACTCCACCAACGGCATCAATATTTGCACTATAAAGGTCCCAGAAAGAGAAGAGGGAGAGAGAAAGGGACAGAAAGATTATTCTAAAGAATAATGGCTGAAGACTTCTCTACACTAGGGAAACAGACATCCACATGTAGGAATTCCAGAGAATTGCAAATAAGATGAAACCAAAGAGATCCATACTGAGACACATTATAATTAAAATGGCAAGAGTTCAAGACAAGGAGAGACTCTCAAAAGCAGCAAGAGATAAACAACTTGTTATGTGCAAGGAAATCTCCATAAGGCTAGCAGCTGATTTTTCAGCAGAAACTTTGCAAGCCAGAAGGGAGTGGCACAATATATTCAAAGGACTGAAAGAAAAAAACTGCCAACCAAGAATATTCCACCTGGCAAAGTCATCCTTCAGAAATGAAGGAGACATAAAGTGTTTTCCAGGCAAGCAAAAGCTGAAAGAGTCCATCACCACTAGACTGGCCTTACAGAAGTGTTAAACAGATTTCTTCAGGCTGAAATGAAAGAGTGCAATTTACTAATAGGAAAAGATATGAAAGTATAAATCTCACAGGTAAATGCGTCATTGAATTTGGAATACTCTAATGTTGTAATTGTGGCAGGCAAATTTTTCATAAAGCTCGAATGGAGGTTAATATACACAAAAGCATTAAAAACTATAAGTATATAACTTATTAAGGGATACACAACATAATAAAATGTAAATTGTGTTATCAAAAAAAAATGGAGGGGTGGAGTAAAAATGTAGAACTTTTGTATGCATTTGAACTTAAGTTTTATCACCTTAAAATATACTGTTTGAAATAGAAGGTGTTTTATACAAGCCTCATGGTAATCACAAAGCAAAAAACTGTAATAGATACAAAAAAGACAAAGAAAATGGAATCTAAGAATCCCACTACAGAAAATCATCAAATCACAAAGAAAGAGATCAAGAGAAGAAAGGAACAAAGGAATTATAAAACAGCCAGAAAATAATTAGCAAAATGCTATTGTAAGTCCAAACCTATCAATAATTACTTTAAATGAAAATGGACTAAATTCTCCAATCAAAAGATATAGAGTGACTAAATGGATTAAAAAACAAGACCCATCTATATGCTGCCTACAAGAGACTCACTACAACTTTAAGGACATACACAGACTTGAAGTGAAGGGATGAAAAAAGATATTCCATGCAAATAGAAACCAAAATAAAGCTGGGGTGCCTATACTTATGCCAGACAAAATAGATTTTAAGACAAAGACTGTAATGAGACAAAGAAGGTCATTATATAGTGATACAGAGGTCAAACCAACAAGAGGATATAACATTTGTAAATATTTATGCATCCAACATAGGAGCACCTAAATATACAAAGCAAATATTAAGAGACTTGAAGGGAGGAATAGACAGCAATAAAGAAATAGTAGGGAACTTTTAATATCCCACTTTCATTAATGGATAGATCATCCAGACAAAAAATCAATAAGAAAATAGTGGACTTAGGGCCGGCCCCGTGGCTTAGTGGTTAAGTGCACGTGCTCTGCTGCTGGTGGCCCGGGTTCGGATCCTGGGTGTCTACCGACGCACTGCTTCTCCGACCATGCTGAGGCCGCATCCCACATACCGCAACTAGAAGGCTGTGCAACTATGACATACAACTATCTACTGGTGCTTTGGGGGAAAAAATAAATAAATAAATAAATAAAAATAAAAAAAAAAAGAAAATATTGGACTTAAATGACACATTAGACCAGATGGACTTAACAGACATTGACTTTGACGAATTTCGCCAAACATTTAAAAAAGAATTAATGCCAATCCTTCTCAAACTCTTTAGAAAAAAGAAGAGGGAGCACTCCCAAACTTTTTACAAGGCCAAAATTACCCTGATACCAAAGCAAGATAGGGACATTACAAGAAAAAAAAAAAAAACTGCAGGCCAATCTCTGATGAATATAGATGCAAAAATTCTCAATAAAATACTAGCAAACTGAATTCTGCAGCACATTAAATGAGTCATTCACCACGATCAAGTAGAATTTATCTTTGGGAAGCAAGGATGGATCAACATGCACAAATCAACAAATGTGATACATCACATGAATAGAATGAAAGAAAAAATCATATTATCACCTCAATAGATGCAGAAAAAGCATTTGATAAAACTCAACATCCATTCATGATAGAAACTCTCAACAAATTAGGTATAGAAGGAATGTACTTCAATAAAATAAAGCCCATATATGACATATATGACAAGCCACAGCTAACATCGTACTCAAAAAGAAGAAAATCCTGCCATGTGCAACAACATGAGTGATTCTGGAGGAAATTATGCTAAATGAAATAAGGTAGACACAGAAAGATAAATACCTCATGATCTCACTTACCTATGGATTAAAAAACGTTAAACTTATAATAATAGTGTATAATGGTGGTTACTAGATACTGGGAGGTGGGGAAAAATGGGAGATATTGATCAAAGGGTACAAACGTTCAGTTATAAGGTGAATAAGTTCTGGAGACCTAATGTATAGCATGGTGGCTGTAGCTATATTTTCTGTTTTTTTTAATTGAGGTATAATTTGGCTATAGCTAATAATAATGTGTTGTATACTTGAAATTTGTTAAGAGAGTAGATTTTAAGTGTTCATACTACACACACAAAAATTATAACTATGTGAGGAGATGTATACGTTAATTAGTTTGATTGTGGTAATCACTTCATGATGTATACATATATCAAAACATGACTTTGTACTCCTTAATGTATGCAATTTTTATTTGTCAAAAATAAAATTAAAAAGAATAAATTACCCTAGTTCAAAGAATATATCACAATAGATATAGAAAAATCTTTTAACTCAGTGACAAATATGATATATCAAATTTTGTGGGATATAGCTAGTGGTGTGCTTTGAGGGAAATGTACGGCTTTAAATATATTTATAAGAAACAAAAGGTTAAATATCAATTATGTAAGCTCCCAATTCAAGAAGCTAAAAATAATGTCAAATTAAACCCAAAGAAAGTAGAAGGAAAGAAATAAAAATTTAGGTCAGAAATCAGTGAATCAGGGCCGGCCCCGTGGCTTAGCGGTTAAGTGCTCGCGCTCCGCTTCTGGCGGCCCAGGTTCGGATCCCGGGCGTGCACCGACACACCACTTCTCCAGCTATGCTGAGGCCGCGTCCCATATACAGCAACTAGAAGGATGTGCAGCTGTGACATACAACTATCTACTGGGGCTTTGGGGGGAAAAAAATAAATAAATAAAATCTTTAAAAAAAAAAAAAAAGAAATCAGTGAATCAGAAAGCAGAAAAACAAAAGCAATGAAGGCAAAAGTCAGTTCTTTGAAAATATTAATAAGATTGACAAACTCTTGTGTGACTGATAAAGGGGAAAAAAAGAGAGAAATCAAAAAAGGTTAATACCAGGTATGAAAAATTGGGCATAATTATAGAGATAAAGAGAAGATATAAACAACTTTTTGCTAAGAAACTTGACTACAGAGATGAAGTGAAATTTCTTGAAAACTATAATTTACCAAATTTGACATATAATAATTTTAATAATATATTATATATTAAAGACCTTAATTTTTCAAATATATGTGTGTATATATGTGCATGTATATGTGTGTATGTATACGTGTGTATGCATTATATAATATACATTAAATCCATGGATTTAATATATTTATATCTATGTATCTATCTCTATCCACATTAAATCCATAGTTTAGAACTCTTCAGAAAGAAAACCCAGACTAGGATAGTGGTGAATTACTCCAAACATTGAAAGAAAGAATTACATACTCTTACATCAATTCTTTCAGAGAACAGAGAAAGAAAGAACACTTCCCAATGCAGTTTATATGCCTATATAATCTTGATGCCACAATCAGATAAGGATATTACAAGAATGTAAAATTATTGGCCATTATCTCTCATGAACATAGATGCAAAAATCCTAAACAAAATATCAGTGTATCAAATCCGGTGATACACAAAAATATAAGACAATGATCAAATTCAACATCTACTAAAGGTAAACATATGCCTACCCTATGACCCAGTAATTTCATTTTTAAGTGTATGTCCAAGAGAAGTGGGTGTATGTCCACCAGAAGGCAAATATAAGAATGTTCAACTATATTCATAATAGCCCAAATCTGGATTCACTCCAATATCCGTTAACAGTAGACCAGGTAAGTAAATTGTAGTCTACTCATGCAATAGATTATACAACAATAAAAAAGAAAGAACTACTGGTTTGTAGAATGAGAATGTTCCCTCCAGGACAGCAATAATTTCTACATGAGGGCCACTTGCTCTGGCCACTCCCAATCTGAAAGTACAGAGGAGCGGTGCAGAGGAGTGTTCTCGCCTAAATCTGTGACACCATCCCTCAGGAACCACAGGACCTCTGATTTTGCCTAGAATTTCAGAAAGTATGTCATCAAAATGGTTCTTTTATCTTCTAAAAGAACTCTAACTTTAAAGACTCATCCTACTCCAAGGGGCCAACTGGCAAACAGACGTCAAACTATTCCCTCCATCATCTTTGGTCTTCTCACGCTCACCCATTGGAAGCCATGGACTCTAGTTTCCAAACAACGTCCTTCTTTTCTCTGTTAAGATTGACTCTAGCTATAACTTACACACACACACACACACACACACACACACACACCCCTAGCAATGGCCCTAGACTCTCCAAGATCCCAGCTCCTTCCATCTTACTCCTCTGCCATATGACCCAAAATATCTCTTCAAGCTTCAGCCATCAATTTGCATTCCACCACCCGAATAGATAAGTAGGAAAGAGGAGAGTACCTTTTCTTTTTAAGAAGACACTCCCCAGGGGTCTCACACAACACTTCTGCTTTTATCTCATTTGCCAAAATGTAGTCAACATGGCCACTCCTTGGTATAAGGGGAAGTTAGGGAAGGCAGTCTTCCTAGCTTAGATTCTGAGTTCTTACTACCAAGAAGAAAGGGAGAATTGATATTGGGAATCTCTTAACTACTTCTAATCCCAAAACAAAAGTTTCCACGCCTATCAGTAGATGCCAGCCATTGTTATTGCAGCTGCTTGTGTGTGTCTCTTCCTCTTCCAGGATGTGGGAGGAAAAGAATGGTTGTCTACTTTATCAATGTGTAAGCCACAGTTTAGCTAGCTCGGATGCCCGGTTATACCTGGATTTGGCAAGACCATTAGAGAGCCTTCTACTCCATCAGCATCCTATGCTGTGCATGGTAACCTTAAGCTATGTATATTAAAGGCAATTGCTACTGATGTTACTTATTACATTTTTAATATTAAATTATTCTCTGATGTTAAATATAAAGATTACATCTACTTCTCTTGAGCAACTTTTATGGACACTGAGCTCTGAAAGCTGAGAACCTACATCAGGATAAAGCTGTGACCTCACCATGGAGAGAACCACATGGCACTGACCTCATCTTGCCATCATGGTACCCACCTATGTTTAGCTTTCTTTTCTCTTCTCATTTTAATACTTGCTTTATTCTGCTATTCTGCACGCATCATTGTAAGTCACCATATAGTTTATTTGTAAAGAAGTGAAATATACACAACTAACCAAAACAAGTTATCTTATGCCAAGTTTAAAGATTACATGGAGAGACAAAATTAGAAAGGAAGAGTCACAACTGAAGTGCTAAGCCAGAAGCATGAGTCCTATCTGAAGTGGGAGGCCAGGAGAAACAGGTGGCTGGGTGTTGCTGTCAGTGGGAAGGGTTCCTGCCTGTGGGATGACATGAAAGGCGGATGTAGGTCAGGCTCCGTGCTTCAGTACAGAGCCAGTGACTGCTCCACTTAAATGGTACCTGGCACAGCCGCAGAGCAAGCTGGGCCAGATTGAGAAAGGCCTTGGAGGCCACGAAGAGTATGATTCTATCTTTAGAAAAGACAAGTCATTGAAGGGTTTTCAGAGAGTGAGGTCAGGTTTGTTTTAGCAAGGTGGGACTGGCAGCAGAGTGGGACAGATTTGAGCCAGGACGCCAGCACAGGAATCCAGGTGAGAGAAGGTCAGAGGCTCGGTGAAGTCTATGGTACCACAGTGGAGAAGACAGGGTAAGTCAAAAGACATCTCTTAAAAATGGATTGGAATAAGGGTCGACCCTGTGGCTTAGAGGTTAGGTGCGCGCGCTCTGCTGCTGGCGGCCCAGCTTTGGATCCCGGGCGCACGCCGACGCACTGCTTCTCCGGCCATGCTGGGGCCTCGTCCCACGTACAGCAGCTAGAAGGATGTGCATCTATGACATACAACTATCTACTGGGGCTTTGGGGGAAAAATAAAATAAAAATTTTAAAAATTAAAAAAAAAGTGAATTGGAATAAAGGAACCCACTAGCCAGTTGAATAATATATAGGGTGGATGAAGCTGAAGGAAGATTGGAGGGCAAGTTTAAGTCTTTTAGAACCAAACTGAGAGGATTCAGGGAAAAGAGCAGGGCGGTGGTCGTGGAGGTACTCCCTGCCAAGAACATTTAAAATTCTTGTAAAATACCAGGCTCAGATGTCAAAAAGGCAGAGTAAATGAAAAAATGTCAGCAGCTCAGGAGAAGTAACTTGTAGATTTGGGGGCCATTAGCAAAGAGGAGATTAGCCAAGTCCATAGATGGAAATGAACTTGCTCAAGAACATTTGGGGAACTGGAGTGGGTGAGTGTGGCCAGGGCATTTTAGGTAGGCTGATCACAGACAGCCTCAAAAATGTTGAGTGAAAGACTGAGCATCTGACATGTGGAGGCTACAAAGAGGAGGAAGATATACCTTCAAAGCCCATTCTCTGGTAAGAGAAACACACATAGGCATTTCAACAAATTGAAGTGACCTCTGGTAAGTCCTATAATAGAGGCACACTCAAGGGACTGTTGAAGGACAGGGCAGTTTTCTACTCTCTGGGGAAAGGGCAAGGGGACAAGCTCTGGGGATGCTTTCAGCAGGAAGAAAACTTGAGCTAGGCCCCAGTTGATGAATTAGAGAGGAAGAACATTCCAGCAGAAATGATGTTGCTTACAAAAACACTCAAGCACCAAACAGCATGGCTGTTTTAGAGAATGGAAAGGAGCTTGTGTGAATGAAGCTTAGATTAGAAGGTGGCAAGCAATGGAACATGATGTCAGGAAGGCAGGTCTGGACCAGACTGGGGAGAGCTTCAGAGTTGTCCTAAAGAGCACGTACCCCAAAGAGATGCAAGGGTGTCTTAACCAGGATTGTTCCGAAACAAAGAACAAAAACTCACTCAAAGTGGATGAGGTAAAAGGGAGTTTATCACTGAAGAATCAAGGAACTTTTATTGAAACCATGTGCTGGATGTCAGCTGAAAATCTTAGGAAAGACAGCGGGCGGCTATTCCTTCTCTCTCCCTTTCTTTCAGGGTACATGGGTTGCGTGCATGCTGCACTTTTCTCTCTCTGCAAGTTCACTTGTTCCTGCTCACCCAAAGCATCAATATGTGTGCCATTTGGGGTATCCATGACAATTATGACTGAAATTTCACATGACTTCTGTTCTTTAGTGCTCAGTTCTGTTTGGCTCTGTTTGTGCATCATCTCTGTCTCTGACGGTGGGTGACCTCATAACTCTAGATCCAACACTGGGGACTGGAGAGAGGGATTCCCTTGTACAAACCTGATTCTATAGATCTCACTTTGCAGTGCCTCTGGGGAGCAGTGCCAAAGAAGGGGGCATGGATTAGGAAAGTGCCCCATATGTGTCTACATAGTGGCAGTGTGTCAGGGGTATTCAATATATCCTAGGAAAAAAACGTGGCTCATCTTCCTGGAGTGCAAGTTTCTTCTTTAATTAATTCGACAACCTTTTATCGACCTCTTATTGTTTGTTAGGCATTGGTCCAAGCTGTAAAAATATAGCAAAACAAAAACAAAGTTTCTCCTCTCAAGGAGCCTACATTCTAGTGAGGGGGAGATAGGTAATTAATAGATGTCACATAAATATAAATGTAATATAATATAAAGCAGGGTAAAGGGTACTACATTAGTTAGGATTAGGTGTGGCTACAAATAAAAACCTAAAATAAGCTTAAACAAGTGTTTTTTTTTTTGCTTTCAAGAAGTCTGGAGGTAGTAAGTCCAATGCTGGTATGAGGTTACATGGTGCCAGGAGTTCAAGTTCCTTTCATATGATTGTTCTGCCACATATGCCTGCCAATATGGCTGCTGGAGCTCCAGCCATTATGCGTGATTTTACCCAACAAGAGAAAGAAGGGTACCTATACCCCATATATACCACTTCCTTTTACATTTCATTGGCTTGTCAAATCATCTAGGTACAAGAAAAGCTGGGAAGCAGTCTTTATTTTAGGTAGCCGTGTGCCTAGTTAAAAATTAGGGATCTAATTATTGTAAAAGGGAAGTTTGGATATTGGAGAAACTAGCAGTGTCTGTTACAAGGTTAACCAGTAATGACACAAAGCGGGCACGTGTGTCATTCAGGATGGTTAAGGGACAGTCTTTGATAACATTTGACAGAGACTAGGAAAAGTGAGGGGGAAAGCATGTCCATGTGTGGGGAAGAACATTCCAGATACAAGGATAACCTGTCTTATTCGATGCACGGAAGAGAGCAAGAGGTCAGGATGGTTGACTCTTCAAAATGACCACCAGAGTAACTTATGGATCAAGCAAAACCAGTTACTTACTTACTGCAGTAAGGAAGATCATCTAGATGGAGTTTTGGGAGAGTCCCAGAAGGGAGAAGTCAGGACAGGGCATTTATAGGGTTTTGGGATCTGGGTTTGAGTAGTGTTAGGTAGGTCTTTCAGTGTGGGGACCTAACGGGGGTTGAATGAAATTTGTGATATAAAAGTTCATGACTGGTGGACACAGCCGGGCAAGGGTCTCAGAGAGCCATCTGAGGCACAGACAATTCTTTGCTAAGCACACATGGAGGGATCTACTGTCCTGAGAGGGCATTACCCAGAGGAGCCCTCTGCTGTTCTGAGAAGCGGCTGGCTGAGCAACCTATTGTCTGCAGCGATGGAATTTTGAGAGATTCCTGAAGAAAACAACAAAGTTACTTACTAGTTTATGGCCTTATCTTCCAGGCAAAAATTTCCTGGAACAAAGAACAAAGTCACGTCGGGGTGCTTAGTGCTGAGAGTCGGGTTGCTGCACAGCTGGAGCTCAGAGTCCGAGGCAGGACCATCGTTCGTGTGGTTGGGAAGGTGGCTCTCAGGACCTGGTGGCCACAGGCAGGACTTAATTTGGATTTTACTCTGAGATGGGAGTATCTCCAACAGAGAAGTAAGGAAACGATCACCTTGGCTGCTGTGACAGCACCACAGATTGGGGGACTTCAACAACAGAAATTTGTTGTCTCACAGTTCTGGGGGCTGGGAATCTGAAACTGAGGTGTTGGCAGTGCTGCTTCCTTATGAGGGCTGTGAGGGAAGGATCTGTTTCAAGGCCTGTCTTGTTGGCTTGTAGATGACCATCTTCTCCCTATGTCTCTTCACATCATCTTCCCTCTTTGCATGTCTGTGTCCCAATTTCCCCTCTTACAAGGCCACCAGTCATATGGGACTAAGGCCCACCCTAAGGGCCTCATTTTAACTGGATTACCTCTGAAAAGACCTATCTATCTCCAGAAAGGTCACATTCTGAGACACTGGGGGTTAGGACTTCACCATGTGAATTTTGTCGGGGACATAGTTCACCTACAACAGCAGCTGTTTAGAAGATACAGTGTGGGATGGGGCTGGAGAGGGGGGCGAGGGTGGAGATAGAGAGACTAGTTAGAAGGCTACTACAGTAGCCTTAGTAGCCTACTACTAAGAGGATTAGAGGATGACACCTTGGATGACGGTGGTCACTATGAGGTGGAGAGAGGGGATGGATTCTGGGTGTATGTTGATGCTGAAGCCAATAGAGCTTATTGATGGATTGGATACAGGATGGGAAAGAGAAGAGTCAAGAAGGCTCCTTCCTTCCTGCCTCAAGGCCTTTGCACTTACTGTTTCCTCCACCTGAAATGCTCTCATCTTAGGTCCCCAAATTATTCCAATTGTAACTTAAGTGCTCCCCCCTCCTTTTAGAGAGGCATTTCCTGACCTTATGATTTGAAGGTGCCACTTCATAACTCTGTCACATAACCCTGTTTTAATTCACTGCTTGCCTTATAACTCGTTGGCATGTTTTTATTTACTGTCCATTTGTCACTACTGACATGGAAGTGATACTAAGACAGGGACCTCATCTACTTTGGTCACGGCTGTATTACCAGATCCTGGAACAGGGCCTGCCACGTGATAAGCACTTGATAAATGAGTGAGCGAGTGAGTGGATGACCTAGTGCCTGAATGGATAGCAGTAGGTGAGGAACAGAGAAACAGAATAAACTCTCAGTTTTTAGCATGGATGACTGGGTAGATGATAAGAGAAAAACCCACTTCAGCCTGGCTTTAATAAGAGATTTGTTTGCTCATATAACTGGAGGGCTGAAAAACAGGGTGGGTTGCACAGCTGGTTTGATTTAACAGCTGGAGGATTTCAAAGGCTTCTCATCTTTCTATTTCTGTGCTTTGCCTTTTGAGTGTCAGCTTCATCCTAAAACTGACTTCCCGAATGACCGCAAAGTGTCTGTGCACTTCCAAGCTTCACCCCAGTTAAGTCACAACTAGGAAAGGGAGGAGCATCTCTTCTGTGGCTCCTGTAGCAGAGTGAACAGCTTCTTTTCCAGAATCCCCTCATAATCTCTGCTTGAGTCTCAGAAGCTCTCAGGGGGTTCTTTCCTAAACAAAGGTGTGTGGCAAGAGGTGGGGTACTCTGTCCTAGACCAGTGGTTCAGGAACCCTTTACATAAAGAGCTTTTTTCCTGACTCATACCTATTGATACTCACTATATTGGAAATTAAAACCAGAAATTTAAAAATGTTTAGTAATTCAAAAATAACAGTAATAAGCCCATTACATGTTATCATGTCTTTAACAAAAATTTTCAAAGAATGGCACTGTCATATTTTTTTGCAAATTTCTTTAATGTCTGGCTTAATTGAATACAGCTGGATTCTCCACATTGTGTCTGTTCTATGTTGTTTTTTGGTTGAGGCAGATGAAGAAAAGCCAGCCTCAGTCAGATATGTGATTAGAAAAAGGCAGGAGTATTTTAATAGCTTTTTCAGTTAATGTGAATATTCTTTCATTTTATATTAGAACTCAGTAACTGGTCATTTCTTAAAGGTTATTAGTAATGTGGAGTTTAAAATATAATCAATAAATCTTTATACTCTGTTACATTAAAATCCATTAGTCTATCCAGCACTCTGAATCATTTACCCATGCATGATTTTTAGACACCAAGTGCTGAGTATTTACAAAATATTGGTTCACTGAGTTACGCAGATTTTCTAAATGTTGACACACAATATTGAAAAATCACAATAGTTAATATCACCATAGAATTCATCAAAAAAGTCTAAGTATTGCTCATGGGAGCAAACAAGTTTTCCAAAATTCTAATTTTCACTTGAAAACTTGAATTTTATTATCAGCAATACTATCAGTTGTTTTCCTCGAAGTGACAGAATCATTTTGTTCATTTTGCTGAAAAAATATCTGCCGGAATAACCATAGTTTATCTGTTGTTCATTCTTTCAAGTAAAAATGACGTTCCATGAAAACAGCAGCTAGTTCAGCTCGCAACTCACAGGTCCTTTCCTCTGGAGAACTATTGTACTTCACGCACACTTCCTGTTTACTCACACGGGATGTTAAAGGGCTGTGTACTCAAGGGTTGAGATTTAAGAAAATTAGTTTTTTGCTTCATCAAAGATATTCTTAGGTGAAACAAGTGTGTGTTTTTGGCCTCGAGTACGTGGTAATAAAGAACATGTGGCCACTAGTACACTTTAGTATCACTGCCTTGACGAGTGCTAAGGTGCCAGCAGGGTTACTCACCATCATCACTGCGAATTCCACACAGTGAAAGAGGCAAATAATGTTTCAGGTCATTATGAAAATATTTTGACCTTGGACCACCTGGAAGGGTCTTGGGGGAAATTTAGGAGTTCAAGGTCCACACTTCAAACAAACAAAACAAAACAACACACCTTCCCTCAAGAAAACAACCCCTCCATCCCTCCAAGCCCCCCCCAAAAAAATCACATAAACCTCCTCAAACTCCCCCCCACCCCTCAAAACTACACTGTTTTGCATTGATCATGGCCCATGCTGGGAGGGCGGATGGAGTCAACACTCCCCAAAAGCATACAAGCTATATTGGGGAGGGGTGGATATCTGATCTGAAGGAAAATCTTTGTGATCTCAAGAGGGGAACAGGGGCAATGGATGCACAAACATCTACTAACAGAAAGACAGGAAAATAACTAGAAAATTATTTATTACAACTGTAACCTCTAGGTGAGAAAGTCGGATTTGGGACAGTAGTAAGTGAGGGAGATTTCCACATTTAATTCAACATTCAAAACAGAGTGTTGTTTAAATCTTTTAGAACAAGAATGCCTTCTTGTTTTCGTTTTACAAATTAAAAAAAAAGCTTGAATGGGAGCTGACCAGATAGAGGCAAAGTTCTGGGCTACAGTTTTAAGTTGTCAGTGAATAGAAGGTATTCTTTTTCAAGATCTTTCCATTCTTTCACACTGAGAAAGTAAGTTTCCCTTTGCCTCTGAGGGTACTCTGTCCAGATCAGAACCTTCTGTTACCACCTAGGATAGTCAATTTACAGTACAACCGATGGGGTTACAGCTTTCTTTAATTACATTGTTCATGTAGATTCAATGGGTGTTCCCCAAGGCCCTCAGTGACCCACTAAGACCTCATGGTACTTAGGGGGACTATGCTGCAGTTTGTAGTATAACACAATTAAGTTTATTCAATTCTGCTCTGTCACATTGCTCTGTGGAGATTCCAAGACGCTTGAGAATCAATACTTTATGACGATGATTTGTTTTAGTACCATCCCAAACAAAATCTTCACCTGAAGATTATAAAACTATTATCCTGTATTTTTTCGTTAATATTTATGTTTAAATCCCATCTGGCTTTTATTTGGTGTAGGTTGTCATGTTTGTTTATAGCATTTTTCCAAAAAATATGTACAGATGTACTAACATCATTTTTTGACTAGTTCATTTTTTTCCCTCGGGTTTTAAATGTCACTTTCATAAAGTAATACAAAATACACATACACAATGCCTGGGTTTCTGGACCCTTCACTTTGCCCCACTGAGCCTCTATTTCCTCACTAGGAACATACTACCACTGTGGCTTTACAGTTTGTTTTGGTACCTACTGGAAAAATTCCTCATTCAGTGTGTTAGTTTCCTAGGGTTGCTATAAAAATTATCACATGCTTAGTAGCTTAAATAGTATAAATTTATCTTACAGATCTGGAGGTCAGAAGTCCACAGTGGGTCTCACTGGAGTAAAGTCAAGGTGCCACGCAGGGATGCGTTCCTTCTGGGGCTCCAGGGGACCATCTGAATCCTTGTCTTTTCCAGGTCCTAGAGCCTCTGTCCTTCCTTGGCTCCCAGCCCCCTTCCTCCATCTTCAAAGCCAGCAAACTTGAGTAAAGCCCTCTTCACGTTGCATCACTCTGAGCCCCTTTTCTGCCTCCCTCTTCCACTTTTAAAGGCCCTTGTGATTACATGGGGCCCACTTGGATAGCCCAGGATTGTCTCCTTAAGGTCACCTAGTTGGCAATCCTATTTCCATCTGTGCCCTAAATTCTCCTTTGCCATGTAAATTAACATATTCCCGGGCTCCAGAAACTGTGTGGACATCTTTGGATGGCCATCAGTCTGTCTGCCACACTCAGTATTCCTCCTTTATAAAAATTTTTTGAGTTGTTTTCCTACGTGAATTTTAGAATGCATTTGTCAAGACTCCATTCTACTCTATCTTCCTCCTTCGCACCTCCCCTCTCAAAAACAGCTAGATTTTTATTGAATATGTGTTAAAGTCAGAGTGTGAGGCTGAATATTATATGCATCCTAGCAATCAATGATGAAAACCAAATTTCCATTTATCATGCTAGAGGAAAGACAATTACTTTTTTCTCTATATGTAGAAAATATAAAATAGTTTTCATAATCAAAAGAAAGGTATACTTTATTACAGATATATAATACAGTTTCATAATAACATTTTGTTATTTTTCTGGATATTTTATTTTTGTGGTATGTCAGCTTGTAAAAATTCAATTTTTGTGTGATTTTTTTCTCATTCTAAATAAATATCCATGTTCAAATCTAATTTTGTATTTGTAAACTTGAATTTTTTCTTAAAGGGGTCCCCACTCCACCAGCTGAATAAGTTCCATGCCCCACAGAACCTGTTTCCAGTCCGTCAGTAGATGAAACCAAGTTCCTCCTGGAAACTCAAGCTTGAAGCTTGGAAGGCATTTGTCATTCCTCCCTCTTCCTCATTTATCACCTTCAGTCAATTAACTCCTGTGGATCACACCTTTCAGCTATCTCTTGCAAAAGTTCACCTCTTTGCTTCTTTTCTTCTCCATTTTTTTTTTTTTTTTTGGTGAGGACGATTGACCCTGAGCTAACATCCCTTGCCCATCTTCCTCCTTTTGCTGAGGAAGATTAGCCCTGAGCTAACCTCCGTGCCAGTCTTCCTCTACTTTGTACATGGGATGCCACCACAGCATGGTTTGATGAGTGGTGCTTAGGTCCACGTCTGCGATTCAAACCTTCAAATCCTGGGCCGCCAACGCGGAGCCCTCGAACTTAACCACTATGCCACGGGGCCTGCCCCTCTTCTTTATTCATTTTTATTTGCATTACGTAATAAGCAAATCCAACTCCCTCATCCCAGACAGCAAGGGTCATGACCTCAGGTCCTTTATCTGCCATCTTTATCTCTGATGTCCAGCAAGACCTGGGTGGGATACATGACCGGCACTGGGTATGTATTTGTTGAATCAATATTTCTTTGTACAAACTTGAAACAACACAGAAAGTCCAGTTGACCTTCCTCTGATCTTACTTTCCCTCCCCAGAGAAAATCACTGTCATCAGTAGTTTCTAGACATTTACATATAGAAATAAATGTATTGTTCTATTTAGTTTTTACAGAAATGGGATAATAGCACACATATTATCCAGCAACTTGCTTTTTTCACCTAATGTCCTGGAGATCTTTCTATGATAATACATTTGGATTTACTTCTTTTTAACTGCTGCATAGCATTTCATGAGTCATCCTGTGTATTCACGTAATCAGTCTGCCACTGACGTTCATTTAAGTAGATTTGTTGATTCAAAGGGTATGTGTCCATTTTGATACTGCCAAATTTCCCTTCAGAGAGGCTGTACATAAGGAATTCACTTCCTGCTCTCCATACAAGGTCGCTATTAAAGTCTAAGCCACCGTTATCCCCAGCTGGGAGTCCAGCAAGTGTCCAAACTGCTTTCAATCTACTCTCCACACTGCCTGGAACAACCTTTTTAAAAAAATCAAATTTAATCATGTCACTTTCCTCCTTAAGACCCTTCCGTAGGTCCCAGGACCTGTGGGACGTCTACAACCCTTTACATGTCTCATAAGACCCCACTGTCACCTGGGTCTTGCCTGTCTTTCCCTTCCTGACTCAACCTCTATCATCTTTGTCTCCTGCCCCGGCCCTACTTATTTTCTCTAATAATCTTCAGATTGGGCCCTAGGTACCCCTGAGAATATGTAAGGATGTGGTCATGAGGAGTTTTAAGGGACTCAATGTTCAGATGCTCAACTTTCCTAAAACTGACCTGTCTGAGATTCCTGGGGTCCAGACCCACCTTGCATTTCACAATGGCTCCACCCACTTGGCCCACCCCAAATCTTACTATGTCGTACTGCACTGAGATGGAGAGGATAATAACCTTAAGGATAACTTGACAATTTCTTTTAATTAAAGCATCATTAAGACAGGCATTTCCAATAAAACTTTACTTTTATTTATAATAATCATCAGATTTCATGATACACATTGATTATAATGTACATTGCTAACAATTATTGCTCAACCCAGAAGAAATTTTAACTCTTAGAACCCTGATGATATAGTCTGGTCAATAAAAGACTTGGAAACATAAAATATATTCCATTAGGATAAAATTCTGTGGTGGAAGGGTAATGAAAATGTTTTCAAGGAGAAAAAGAAAGGATCAATGTAAAATTCTAATTGGTAAAAATCTTAAATATTTTTAAAATGGATGATGGTGGTGATGAAAACAATAAGTTTTCACATATTGAGGTACATGGGGAAGCCATTCTGGTTTAACCCTGATTTGGCCTAAAACTTGTTTTTCCAGAGCAGCCTGACTTAGGCCTGCCAAACTTGCATTGTACATCTGCTTCAAACATGTTCCCAAAGCAAAGAATGCACTCTTTAAATATAGAGATGACTGTCTCCCTCTCTCTGACGCCAATACCAGGACTTCTTTGAAGACAAGCTTTTCCTCCCAGAGAACCAAGGTCACGTTGACCTGCTGTGTATGCGCTAAACTGCAGAAAAATCCTTATGACTTTGGGGAAAAAAAATTGTATTCCTGTCATGCTTGATCTATGTTCTTTGTTCTGAAACAGTATAAAACCCTGCTGTAAACCATGGTTCTTCAGTGTGCTTTCTTTCCTGGTGGAGATAACACTTCCAAGCCAGTCCTCAGCATTGGCTCAATAAAGACCACTCTATCTTTCTTATCATACATAAGTTATTGATCATGTGCATCAACAGTGCAAATAAGTATTAAATCACTATGGTATTTATAACCCATGGGGTCTATTTAAAAGATTTCTGACACCACTTTAAAATGTCATTTACAACTCATCAGAACTTACTTCTTTTGTAACTAAACTTATGATAAAAATAATTTTCTATATTAACTTAAAAATGTGTGACGGAAATACATAGCATTGTTTTAAGAGATCTAAATAAAAAAAAGCGTGGCCCACTACAGTGTTCCCCACAGGTCTTTTCAATGCCTCAAGTACATTGTGTGCTCTTAGACTCAGTCCTTCAGATACACTGTTCTCACTTGGAAAGCTCTTCCTCTTCCTTCTCATGTCTAGCTCTAGCCTGGCTAATTCCACTCTCAAGCTTCATCTTAAACATCACTCTCTTGCGGAGTTTTCTTTGGTGCAGACTAAATGAGATCTCCTTAACATATGTTTCTACAGTACCATGAATTTCCCCTTCTCATAAGACTCATCCCACATGTTAACTCCTTGCTAAACATAAGCACCAGGAAGGCAAACATGGAGTCAGTCTTTTCACTGTCAGATCCTAATGCCAGTTATGCAGGCTAAGAGGCTGGCTGTGCTCTTTAAAAAGAACCATTTCAGTAGAGTGAAGTAAAAGGAAGTCAGACGGCACGGGGTTAGAAAAACTACAGGGCAAGGAAGTAGAGGCAGAGGGTGTGGGCTCATTATAGCTTAAGAAGGGGGCAGGGGCAGAAAAGCAGGGCGCGTCTGTGACTGTTAGTAGGAAGAGGGGAGAGTGAAGAGCACAGGGAATAACAGAGCAGGTAGGGGCTGGGTGTGGACATAGACAGGGGACAGGAGAGACTTAAGTTGCATGTCTCCATGCCAATACACTGCACAAAACTTTACAACTTGGTGACTGATAGTAATATGGGGATAATTCACAGGAAGTAACATATTCTCACACATCACACGAATTTACTGACTTCATCCTTAATATGAACAGTGAACATGCTTTCTCTCTTCATACGTTTTTCTAATTGTAAGGATGTTTGGTATCAATTAACTAAAGGGATCATAAGCAGCACTGGTTGTGCACATAATCCACACCCATGACTTTTTCCCTCCAAAACAAAATCTAGTTCTTCTCACAGTACAGAGCAATAAATTCCAGAGAAAGAGGGGGGAAAATCCTTCTACTGTGTAACGCTTCCTGTTGGCAAGATACCTGTCCAAATATTTGTTCCTTCAGAGATCTCTATTCAGCTGGCTTTGTTCCCTAAGGTCACCATCTACCAATCATGTTACATGATGTCAATCATGGATACATAGTCAAAGAAAGTAGCCACCATCCTGGCCCTGATTAGAATTCTCCACTAAAACGCCTGTCTGCATAAAGCTACCCCACAGGCCTCCATTAAGAAAAAAAAAATTGTTTTTCTTTCACTTAAAGCATTTGGCATTGTTTAAAAGTGCAACTATCCTTGGAAAGCATTAGGCATTAAACCACATTTACCATAGACAAAAGGCGGTAGAAGGATCCAGAAGGCCTCGGGGTCTGTTTGTACATCAATGAAACAGCTGCCCTGCCTTCCTCGACTTTTGGGAAGGTCACAAAAGTATGTCAGTACTTTACGCACTCTATATGTACATGCAAAGTGCTGCACCAAAAATGAGGCTCCTTATAAAAAATCAGACACAAGTCAAAGAGCCAGGCCCTGGGGAAGCGAAGGAAGAGGGAATTTGAAAAGGTCTGATAAAATAAAGTGTGGAAAGAACCTTGAAAAAGGCCGTCCAGCTATGCGCAAACATCTAATTATCATCATCACTGTGAAGGGAGAAAGAAGGGGCCTAATTCGGAGCCACCCTAGGGGCGAATGATGGGGAGGAAGGGGTCCTGGGCAGCCGCTGGGAGAAGGGGAGGAAGCCAGGAAGGCGGAGCGTGGGAGCCACTTCGAAGGGACGGTGGCCGCCCCGCCAGGCCTGCCTTTGGGTAGATAACCCGGGGCGGGACTTGAATAGCTCTTATCACACCTATCGTAACTGCTCCAGTTGTGTGTGGCCTTCCCACAGCAAGCCTGACAAATCTCTGCTGCGCGCATGGCCCCCGTAACCGGGAGTGACAAGCTCTGCAGACGTGTGCGGCGCAGCGCGTCACCCATGCACACACGGAAGAGGACCGCTCGGCTCGGGCGCATTCCGGGGCGCACATGGCGTGCAGGTTGCAGGCGGCCGTTTCCTCCAAACAACCCGCGTCCACAGTCCGACGGAGGAGGCAGCTGGCCGCTCGGGCCCCTCCTCCGGCCGGCACCCACCTTCACCCCGCTCGGCCAGTCGCACCTCCCTTCCCGCGTCGGCTCCTTAGTCGAACTCCGGAGCATGCGCAGTGGCCCGAGCTAGGCGCCCGCGCACCCCGGCGGCAGTTGCGCTTCAACCGTCAGCGGACTCGACCAATCAGGAGGCGTGTTGTTGCCTCGTAGCCCCGCCTCCGACGGGAAACTATGGTAACGGGCGGCCAATCAGGAGGCGTGTTGTTGCCGCGGGCCCCGCCCCCGACAGGGGCGTGGGGTGACTGGCGAGGGTCATGGGGTCTAAGCGCTGCTGAGCTGCTGAGCCCCGGAGGGCCGCGGCGTCCCCTTGTCCCGCGGCCCTGAGCAGCGCGCCGGGCCCGCGCTCG